GGGGTGAAGGTTCAGTGGGAGGTGTCCCTGCCCGTGGCAGTGGCTCAGAACTAAATGGTCATTACAGTTCCTTCCAGCCCAAACCATTCCATGATTCCATGAAACCCTGGGCTAGTGGAAGGTGTCCCTGCCCATGGCAATAAGATCAGCTTTAAGAGCCCTTCCAGCCCAAACCATTCCATGATTCCTTCCCACAAACAAACGTGCCCCTGCCTGGCAGAACTCCCACACAGATGCTGATCCTGTGGGATGCTGATATCTCTGGGAATAACATCTGAGGCAGGCAGTTGGATATCTCTGGGAATAACATCTGCCTGCAGAGCTCCTGCCAGGTCCCACCGTCCCCAAAAGGCAGAGGAAGGGGAGGAAGAGGATGGTGGGAAGGGCTTGGTGGTTCCTCAGTGATCCCAAAGAGCAGCTGAGGGGAAGGAAAGGGGGGAAGGAAGAAAGGAAAGGGGAGAAGGAAGGAGGGAAGGAAAGGAAGGAAGGAGAAAAGGAAGAAGGGAAGCAAAGGAGGAAGAGAAGGAGGGAATGAGAAAAAGAAGGAGGGAAGGAAAGGAGGGAAGAAAAGGAGCAAGGAAAGAAGGAAGGAGGGAAGGAGGTGAGGAAAGGAGGGACGGAAGGAGGGAAGGAAAGAAGGGAAGAAAAGGAGAAAGGAAAGAAGGAAGGAGGGAAGGAAGGAAAGTGGGGGAGGGAAGGAGGTAAGGAAAGAAGGGAGGAAGGGAGGGAGGGAGGAAGGAAGGAAGGAAGGAAGGAAGGAAGGAAGGAAGGAAGGAAGGAAGGAAGGAAGGAAGGAAGGAAGGAAGGAAGGAAGGAAGGAAGGAAAGGGAGGGGAAGGAGCTACCCCATCCCACTGGCACCCACAGCCTGCAAACTGGTGCTCAGGGGGGCCAGTGGAGCCTTCCCAGTGCTGCTTCCCACCCTGCTGAGAAGGACAGAGAGGAGGAAAAGCTGCAGGTTCCGGGGGGCTGGATGGGCAGGGAGGGGGGTTGGATGCAAAGCCCTCCTTCAGCCAAGAGCTGAGCAGGGAGAGCAGCTGGAAGAGCCCAAAACGAGCCAGAAAGGCCACACTTTGGGAAAGCAAACAAGGCAAAAGTCCAGGGAGGGAAAGGTGACGGAAACCCAGCCTGGATATGGAGCTGGAGGAAGTTCTGAGCTGGGGAGCAAGAGGCAGGGGGACCTCGCCCTCTCCTCGGAGCTCTTGGCTTGAAGTCGCTCCCAGCAGCTGCCACGTGTTCTCTGGGAGGTTTTGTTTGGAGCAGGAGCCACGTCTGGCTTGTAAAACCTTCAATCCCTGCGGAATTCACTGAGGCACAGGATGGAGAGCGGGAAATGAGGGTCAGGCTGTCTGTCCCCGAGCCAACCCCACCCTCTGATCCCATCACAGCATCTCCTGGGAGAGCAGGAACCATCCCAGCAGCCTCACGGGGTTGGGATCAGGGTTGGGATGGAGCTCTGTGGGGTTTGCACCGGGGCTGGCTTATCCCAAAACTCTGCCTGGGCTCCAAACCCAGCGAGCTGGAGAGGCTGGAACGCGGCCTCCTTGCCCGGAGGTAAAACCAACAGCTGGCTTTCCAAAGAAACCCTTGGAAAAGCCCCTTTTAGGTCCCTTTCCCAAGGGACAACCCCCCCCCCCACGTTGCTGTGACAGGGGAGTGCCTCTGCTTGCATCAATCAATATTCAGCGTGGTTTGTGCAGGTAAAACCCACAAATAATCAAGTAAAATGTTCCTTCCAAGACTAAGTCACTGCCCTGGGGGTGCAGTGAACAATGAATTGCCAATGTGCAAAAACAGTATCAGAAATGGAATCCGGAGGTTTTGGCACAACGAACTCATCAATTCTAAGCTCACCACAGAGTTCATGTTCAGAAGGATAATCTAGGGGGTTTTTTTTAAAAAAAA